TGGCATAGAAATATTGAAAACAAAATTTTATTTATATGTCATACTTTCAATAATTGATCAATGATTTTAAATTGAGAAGATTTGACAGGATGTTCAAAGATGAACTTTAGAAATATGTTAAAACGTTAACATGCTGTTTTGTCGTTGTCTTCCGTTTAGATTATGTGAATCCATTAGTTACTCTTCGTTAAAATTACTTGCAATTAATGTATAAAATATAATGTTTATCTCGACAACAATTTTATTTTATCTACATATGAAATGATAAAATTCTGAAAAAAACACTTGATAATGTGAATATGAGATAAATTTATTTGAAGGTTGTTTGATAATAGAAGACTAAGTCAAATACTTTTCTTTCAATTCTTTTTTGAATATATGACAAATAAAATAATTATGTATGTCATACTGCTGTAGAATTGTCTCACCTTCATGGTACATGTACAATGTACAGAGTCATTGCGGATGGATGTTTCAAATCATTCTGTTAATACTTCTTCGTCTAGAATCACATTACGAAAAGCAGACGTACAGAGTTGTCTTTCATACATATTGGCTCATCTAGTAGAAATTTGTTGTAAAAATTCTTTCGATATATTTCAAGTATATATTGACTAAGAAACTATGTTGATAGATGAATAGCAAACAATTGCGTCATAAAATAATATTAGTGTTTTAATTATACTACATAAAACATTTACTTATTTGAAATGAAATGTGAGTTGACGCATTCAATTAAATGAGTCACCTGCAGGGAGCAAAAGAACATGCAACACAAGAACAAAAATAATTTAGCTAATAAGCAACATTAGAAAGTCTACGTTCGATTGATTAATAACTGAATAAAAGAAATGGTGTTGAAATGATTTTTATAAATTTAGTAAATATTCAAGAATTCATCAACAATACTATGATCGCTATATTATGATACATTGCTTATTTATCGTTTTGTAACTTGTTTGATCGTAAACTTCGATATCAATCGAACTTCAGTTATTTTGATTATACACTTCTACACATACAATGATCGACTCTGAGAAGATAAAGCAAATGAGTGTATTTTAAAGTATTACTCGAGTTTGTTCAAAGAATATTCTAATGTTTTAGAAAATGATTAAAATAGATTCACTAATCATAATCGTATTACTCAGTGAATATCAATTCTATATATTTATATGATTGAACCTATCTACTTAATATGAAAACTAGTACTAATAACTTTTAATGGTGCTTCGTATGACTTTGATTGGAAAAATTAATTAATATGCCTTCTATAATTAGCTTCTATACGTGTGATATTAAATTGTAAATCTAATTCAGACATGTAGTTTGAATAGATGTGATCTATGTATCGGACTAACGACCAACCAAGTTCCAGAATGATAAATAAATTCCAATCTTGCTTTTACTTTATTTTATTTTTTCATAATTTTATGAAAATATAAAATTGTCCATGAATTCTTGGATATATGTTTAGTTGATAAAAATAACTTCAGTCATATTTCTTATTAAAATTATGCTTTCGTCTTTCAGTTCAACATTGATACGGTATATACAACATTGAAGATATTTATTTTAGTCAGCGATATTTCCTGTTCCAAATTTATCGGATATTGTTGAAAAACTTGTTTTGATTCGCCTCTAATAATGATACACTTTCAAGTTATTTTAAAAATAAAAATAAAATTGTATTTTTCTGTATTCGTTATCTAGATAGCAGATTCATGCTTTCCAATATTTATTACCAAAGAAAAACAAATATCAGATTTCTATTCTAGATACGAATCTAACATTCTTCAAACAACAATAAGTCTTGAACAAGATGGTTCTCGAAAAAACATGTCGTAGAGAACTGATTAGTGAATGTTGTCATTGGGCAACATACTAAATCCAAATCAAGATCACATAATCAAAATTTTTCGAATGAATTCGAATAGTATTGAATAATTGAGTCATTTGTAAGAACTTTAAGTAAACTATGTGGAGATCATGAATGTATCTTAGGGCTGACATAAATATGAGTTTAGGTAATTTTAAAAATCATCGATATTTGCTAGCATTTGTGTAGTTCTTCTTTTTTTGGAAACTTTTATGTCCTTGTACCCCAATCATTTATCATTAAACTTAAAATTCTTCTTTTGTTTAATTATTGCGTCTTTCTTTTCCAAGTTAATTGAAAGTATGTAAGCTCATTATTACTAACCTAACATTTTAATTAGATGTACATGAAGTTATTGCGTAACTTACTATAAGAGCGTAGTTGTTTTGCTATTAAAATTTGTTTTTGGAAAGGAAAACGAAAATATAGTCATGTCTATGAAAAGCGAAAACAGAAGTGTGACAAAAATATGAATAGTGTATAGAATACATTTACCTGTAGTCATGCCAGTATTGCAACTGATTTTGCCGATCAGTATCTGAAATTAGTCATGTGTATCGATCTCTAATTGATAAATAGGTGATGCTAGCGTTTGACATATCTAGGTAGTACTTGTTTTCTTTCTATTCATATATAAAAGCAAACTATATTTTGAAGAATTTTCAGTTTACAGCAAAAACAAGATATCAACTGTTCTTCATATAAGAAACACAAATGGGTGGCCTATCCTCTCGTGGTCTTGGTGGTGGTTATGATCCATTATTAGGCGGTGGCTATGGCGGTGGCAGTTATATCGATCCGTATGGTGGATACGGCGGATTAGGTGATTATTACTACACCTATGTTAATACTCCTATACCAGTAGCTCCCGCTCGTCGCCGCCGTAAGCGAAGATGTTGTCAGCCTTTATGTTGTGGTGGATGGGGCGGATGGGGTGGATGGAGTGGATGTAGATGTTAATGATGATAATTCGTTTGAACACTAAAATAGTTGAACAATATATATTAGAACAACGTGTTCTATGTTTATTTTTTGTAATACAACTTTATAATAGGAGATAGAGTCAATCTGTTTCCTATACCTTTTATTATGTGTATGCTATTCACGTTGCTTTAAGCCATAAAGGATTTTTCTTTTGCTCATAAGTCGCATAAAGTAGTATCTTACATTGAAATAGTTAAATTCCATAAACATCTTATTTATATCGAAAAATATAATTTTGTATAAAAAATATAGATTCTTCATTATTTCTATGCAGTTGATATGAATAGCCAATGTTTCCAAACATATACTTTGATAAATTTAGTATATGCAGATTTGATTAAAAGTTCTTCTTGTCAGTTGTTTTATTATTCTGAAATGATCAGCAACTACTGCCATCATTCGTTGAAGAAACAATGGAATGGCACAGTGCACACACGAATCATTATCAATATCGTTAGTTGACAACTGATGATCAAATGATTCGTTTGAGATAAATAATTTTTTCTTTATTACTGACTATGGACAAGATTGATAAACCTTATTTATTAATGCTTGAACGTCTTCGTATTCTTGAACAATCTATTCATATTCTCAAGCTAGTTAATAATGATCTTCGACAAATTCTTCATAAACAGTAAATCGAAATATATTTGCATTTTTTTATTATCATTGAAATATATAAATTTCAGAAAACCTTTACCACAATTCATTCATGATTCATTTAAACGATCTACAGTTAATAGCTCAAAAACATCTTCTGCACTCAATCCTCCTCCTCCACTACCACCGCCGCCGCCAACAGGTAAAATTAATTTTCAATTATCATGGAATTATTTAATATCTGTTTGTATGTAGATACTGAAGAAATGCGTCTTGCTGCAAGTATCATCGACAAAGCAAAACGTACGATTGAAGTAAGTTCAGGTAGGAAATAAAGTATTTCATATTTGATCCTCTCCGTTTCTTTTTAATTGTTTTTTCCAACAGAATGTTGGTGAAAAGAAACCAAAACAATCATCTACTGTAGTAGCAGCACCACCAGCAGCTCCAATACCGGTTCAGTCAAACAGTACTAATAATAATCGTCCTAAGACTACATCATCACTACGGCCCTCTTCAGCAAGTTCAAGCATTCCATCCTCATCAAGTTCGTCTGTACCTCGACAGCAACAATCACAGCAAACAGGACGTCGTTATGTTCCAGCTCATATGAAAGCTCCATTTTTAACACAACCTGAAAAGAAACCTCGACCTAGCTCATCAATTCGTAATAATATTCAAATTAATCCCAATCAAAGAACGAATACGACACGTCGTTCTCTTAGTCAACAACGACGACAATCGTCAACTTCACAACCAATCATCGAATTTTCTCAACAAGCAATACAAATACCAGCAATTACTTCGACAGAAAATGAAAACAGCTCGACGATCGAAAATCAAAATATCAATGTCACGAGTCAGAATATCATTCTTCCAGATAATACATCTATTATTACTACTGCAGAAGAAACAGCTGAAACAGATATATCTCCTGTTACACAACCAGTTGTACTTAATCGAACATTAATTAAACCATTACGTCGTTTATGGAAACAAAATCAAAATCTTCGTAGTCGATTAAAACGTGAGGTTGAAAAGAAATCAACACCATTACCTCCATTTATTGATCGTTTAACTGAACAAGTAAATGAATAGAAAAAAACATATTTCTTGACAAAATATCTTTTCTTTATTTTAGATTCATTCATCGACAACTACTGATAAAATATATTTACCAAATATTGAAGTATTACTTCAATTAGCCATTAAACTTCGTGCTATTATACTTTATCTTCTAGAAAATTGTATTTTTATTTCGAAAATAATCTATATAATCTAATTGAATATTTTTCATTTATAGCTACATTCGATGATTTTAATAATGCATTAAAACGTTTAAATACACTAAAATATCTTGTTAATCAATATCATTTTTTGTTTACATCAAATATTAATATTTATGTTGAGGTAAATATTTTCTTCTTATTTTGTTTTTGACTTCAAATTTTACCATTTTAGAAACAACATCATCGTCCATTAAATATCAATATGAACATTGAAGGTATTATTATTTTTATCTTATAAACTTTCTGTATATATATTTATTATTTAGAATGGTTAAATAAATCAAAATCTTCTATATTAAATCATAATATTATTCGATATACTGATGATAATCAATTAATTGCTCTTACAGAAATACGATTTAAACAGTTTGAAAATGAATGTCGATGGATTGAATTAAATTGGCATGAACAAATGATAGTACAATTTAAACAATCTATATCAAATAAAAATCAAAAATCACTTCAAATCTATCGAGAATTATTATCTCTTATAACCGGCTTACAAACAGCAACTCCAATTATGATTGAGAATAAACTTGAATGATTCTAAGAATAATTATAATAATAATAAACTAAATTCTGTTTTTTTTCTGTTACTTGAAATTTTTTTAAAATATATATTAAAATATGACTTTATGAACTTTTTAAGATTTTGTCTGCTTTTTTTCGACGTTAAACTTGAATGTCGTCGACATGGCAAGTTTTACTTGCCCTTGATGCTCGTTATAATGTTCATCGAACACCAAATAATTTTCAATTTAGTATGTGAAGACTTCATTACTACTCATTTTGTATTTATACATTTAGAAACACTTTATATTCGAAGGCGAAGTCAGCTACTACGTGATAATCGTCCAAGTGAAGTAAGTTCAACTTATTTTTGT